AAAATTTACTATTTACAAAAACCTTTATAAATAATTTTAGATAACATATCTATATACAATACATAATAGTATATAATTTATAATTAAACTTTTTTATATCATATAAAACTATTCAATAAAGATTATGTATTAAAATGAAAAATTTTAATTATCATTCTTATGTTATATAAAAGCACTTAAATATATATTAGGACCTGCCACATTAGTCTAGAAGGCCAGCCATCTCTACAAGAGATCCTAATGCAAATGCCCCAGAGTTTAGGATGATAAATGATAAATTATAGGCAGAATTTTTAAATTTACCCTTTAAATAAGAGAGTAGGGATAATTTCACTCTTCAAAACAAAAAAAAAAAAGATAAATTGTTCATTTAAATTATCGATTAGAACAAATCACATTATTTAATGTATGATGTTATTATATGTCATAAATCTGATTGTCATTTAAGTATTTTTTAATAAAGAGTTGACGAATGATAACATTATATATTAAATAATGAGTGATTTATTTTGACCAAAAATTTAGAAAGATAATTTTTCTATTTATTTTTTTTTTAAAGTGGACTTGTTCATATCTTTTTATTTAAAAGGTGAATTTTGGGATTTTGTCTAAGTTTTAACCATCAAAAGCCTGAACACAAGAACGGAGCTTGACTAAAATTAAAAGAGGGATCAAAAAATTTTTGTGGACTAATTGATTAAAAATTTTTTTTGAGGGCAAGTTAATTAAAAAAAAAAAACACTTTATATTTGAATGGTTTTCAAAATTTTTGGGCCATGGCCCACTATCATTCAAGTAAGCTCCGTCCTTGCCTGGAACACCTGTAAAATGTCTTGAGCATTTATTTATTTATTGTATGAACGGTCTTGAGCATTTCTTCTCGTAGGAATTAAGTAAATATGAATATATATATATATATATATAGATATATAAATGCAATTATCACTTTTTAAGGACCACATCATTTAGTGCAATAATAATTTGTTATGCAGAAATAGGGATGTGAGGTTCATGAATATGACATAGCAATTGTGTCTCAAGACATCATTTTGCTGTTCCGTTTATATACAACTTAACAATTTATAACTCACCAAGTGGTCGAAAAGGCACATGAACTATCTCTAAATACGGATACATAATATGTTTAGTCATCAATTTAATTTAAATATAAATTATATACTGTGATAAATTTGGATTTTGTAAATATTAATATAAATTTTTTTTTGATAATATTGGTAATTTAATGAGTTATATGTGATTTCATTTGATTTTATAGAATTTTTTTTTTTTGCAGAAAAAAACTTAATTGGATGAAATCATAACTTTAAAGACTAAACAAAAAAGATCAGTCACCTGAGGATTAAAGTGTGCAGAGACCAGAAGTTAGAGACCAGTACTGTAATTTTGTCATTAACTAAAATTGCTTAAAACTCCGAAATGCCGACACGGATGATTGTTCAACGCATATGTTAAACGTGTTGGCACCTACTTCGGGGTGTCCAACGCTTGGGCAATTTCAGCAAATCCACTTCCTGTCCTTGTTATTTTGGTTTCCGTCACATGTCTTTCCAACCAAGATTTTTAAATCTTATAAAGACTAATTGAAGATTAGAATATAGTGAGCTTTTGAGAGGCTTTTGGCAACCTCTTTAGGGCACTTTTAGAAGCACGAAGAATTTGTCAATAATAAAAAATTAAGAAATTAAGCCAATATCCTCAAACTGAGCTTTGTTTTCATTGAGTTTAT